TAAGCAATTTGTAGCAATCCTGACTTAAATTCTGTTATTTTTATTCATTTTTTTACCAGGCTCACAGATGATCTTTCCCCCCAAGGCATACTCCAAGTTCATCCTGAGACCACCTGTTTGCATAGATTATAGATGCTCTACTCAAGCCATGGATAGGCCTTCTGGACATTATAAATCATGTTATATGCTCTAGTTTCTACATTCTCAGAAAACAGCTCAGATGCGTGAGCACAAAATGCAGTGTATCCATTTGGCAGACTACACTGTAGGCTTTTTTACATAATTTTTTTGAAAGCATGTAGTTTGGAGACATTGATACTTATTTCCTCAGTCTCTGCAGTAAAAAAAGAGATATATGAACATACTGAGGAAGCTCAGAAAACTAAACAACGTGTTCAAATTGTTCCTTTGTATCTTAAAACTAGCTTTGCATGAAAGTATGCAAAGTACCACATTTCTTATTTTGGTATAATTTCTACCCTGGTACCTCTGAGAGAATTCTGACTGTTTCAATTGATTAAACTGTGTCACCACTTAGTTTCCCATTAAGGAAAAGAATAAGCCATATTGCTATTTCAGCTATCCAGATTTTATCAAACTGTTAAGTATCTTTTCCAGTATATTTCTATCTCACATGTGTAATTTGTTCAAATATATTGCTCTCCAAATACATTTAGAAGGTATTTTGATTTTAGACAATATTCCTTATAAACATTCCATGGACATTACTGGCAAAATTCAATGGGAAACAAGTGCATATAATATATAGGGTGGATATGAGAGAGTAGAATTTTTTACTCTGATGAATTCAGCATTGTAGCAATACCAAACTGTTCATTAGCACTTATTAATACATAACTAAAATCCAGAATTATTTATTTAGAAACTATAATTCCTTTTGTACATCCTCCTTAAGCAATGGTGAGTATAAATCAAAATTTCCTATGTATTAGGAATACTTCCTACTGAGTTGCACTCCTTTGAACAGATATAGGTGATTATATTATGTCAGTTGAACAATTTAATTTATATTTTAAGCTACTTACTTAAATGGCTAGGCAAAGAAAAATTACCCAAAGGAAAATTTATACACAAACTTCCAAAACCAATATAGTTCACTCTAAAAAAAATTGTTCCTGACCTGTATGTAAACAGAAAACTCTATAACCAGAGGTAGAGGAATTATATAAATTAATAATATTCCATGCCTTTTTTTTTTTAGTCCACAAGATATATGGAGTGTTAACTACCATAGACTCAAAAGTAGAGGTGAAGTCACATTATAATATAGAGACAACACAAGACTATTACCCTAAAAGTAGCAATATTGCTGCTCAGAATCCAAATCATAGAAATGATACACTGATTTTCTTGTTTCATTTGCATCTTATATTGTTGTAAGGTACAAATGTTAAATCTATAGCCTTATTATTCTGCTTGAAGAGGAGACCGTAAGTCTACCTTGTTTTCAGCCCTCTGTAGACAGATAACCATCATGTTAGAAATCAGTAGAACTGATTGCAACTGTCTGCCTGTCAAGAAGCAACAGTAGGTGTGAAGACAACTTCTGCAGTACAGTCCTGGGCTCAGTTGTTAACTTGATTCATCAAAGTCCTTATTCAGCTTGTTTTGTTTTGTTTTTGGTTTTTTTTCAATCACAATAAAATTGTTCTTAATTTTTCATCAAATGGTAGTAAATGAATATCAAGAAGAATGGAAGATGAAGATAGCATGGCACTAGTAGCCTCAAAAGATGCAAGGTAAAGGGACATTCTTAGTGTCAAACAGAATGCTAAAGATTAAAAAGAGATAAACATTGAGTAGAGTTCTGTACCTTCATGGACCCAGTAAGTAATTGGTTCTTATTCCATCCCTCACTTTCATGAACCTTCCCACAATTTAAAAGCCAGACAATGATCAGGAAGAAATGGATGAATGGAAAATGCCTTAGGGAATGGACTTATATACTGCTGCAGAGTGTGAGCATATTAGAAAAGCAGAGAAGAAATACCATTGTTATTTTAAATGAAAATAATCAGAAGAGGAAAAAGTGTCAAGATGAGTGGTAGAAAATATATCTAGGAGAACACTGGTCCAGGGCAGTATAAAGTAATTAATTTAAATAGTTTTCTAACCAAATGCTTGAAAAAAGATCACTTCCAAAAATTGATGACTACAGAGTCACTTGAGAGTATCTCCAAAAATAAAAAAATTTGGGTCTGTAAAATTCAGGGTATTTCACTGGAGATACCTTGCATAGGTAGGAGATGGAACATGCACTTTACCAATGCCCGAGCAGGGTGGGAGGGAACACTGAAAGGCAGCCCCAGGAAAGTTTATTGGTAGTGTAGCTAGAGAGAGAAAGCCCAGACCTTTTCATAAAGCCCAGATCCTCTCTCACCCTCAAGTTAACTGAAAATGGTGCATTGTATCATTAAAATGTACTAATCTTCTTTTTTTTCTCTTTTCCATCCCAGGAGGTGAATTAGTTATCCCTCTACTTGTAGAAGACCCTTTAGATATCCCTCCTATTGCTACTCGTGCACCTTTCATTACACTTCCCCCTACCTTTCGCCCCCTCCTCACCATTATTGAGACCACCAAAGATTCCCTGTCCATGACCTCTGAGGCGGGGTTACCTTGCTTGTCGGACCAAGGCAGCGATGGTTGTGATGATGATGGCTTGGTGATATCTGGGTATGGCTCAGGGGAAACCTTTGACTCTAACCTACCCCCTACTGATGATGAAGATTTTTACACCACCTTCTCCTTGGTAACAGATAAGAGTCTTTCCACTTCAATCTTCGAAGGTGGCTACAAAGCACACGCACCCAAGTGGGAATCCAAGGACTTTAGACCTAACAAAGTCTCCGAAACTGGTAGGACTACTACCACGTCTTTGTCCCCTGAGCTGATCCGCTCCACAGCTTCGTCCTCGACTGTGATGATTCCCAAATTGCCAGCCGGCAAAATGAATAACCGTGAGCTCAAACCCCAGCCTGACATAGTCTTGCTTCCGTTGCCCACTGCCTATGAGCTAGACAGCACAAAGCTGAAGAGCCCGCTAATCACTTCCCCCATGTTCCGTAATGTGCCCACAGCAAACCCCACGGAGCCGGGAATCAGACGGGTTCCGGGGGCCTCAGAGGTGGTCCGTGAGTCGAGCAGCACAACGGGGATGGTCGTCGGCATTGTGGCTGCTGCCGCCCTCTGCATCCTCATCCTCCTGTACGCCATGTACAAGTACAGGAACAGGGACGAGGGGTCCTATCAGGTGGACGAGACGCGGAACTACATCAGCAACTCAGCCCAGAGCAACGGCACGCTCGTCAAGGAGAAGCAGCAGAGCTCAAAGAGTGGCCACAAGAAGCAGAAAAACAAGGACAAAGAGTATTATGTGTAAAAAAGAATAATTATTTATATATAAATATAGAAGTACTTAATGAGATTTAACTGAGATATCAGAACCATTGCAGCGAACGAGATGATTGGGAGATATCATTTGTGGGAAAAAATATTGGGAAAAAATTTCAGCAGTGACTGTTAATGTCTAAGTCATCACTTGGAGTCAGCAAACTTTGCCCTAATGTATTATAAAGCACACTTAGCGTTCTGGAGATGGCGCGCACAGCTCTGCTCTGTTAGTGAACTTGGACATCTCCAAATCTCCTCCTCCGCTGAACTTTCTGCAAAGGTAGAAGACTTCATGGCTTACTTGTTTCATATCTCCAAGTGAGTCTTTAACAATGTTCGTGATCCCTGACTGTATCAATAATTTTTCAGTTTACTTATTAAAAAAAAAAAAAAAAAAA